TAGCGTAGTGGCTATGTCGCTGGACTCCCATGTAGTTGACTGTGGTTTGCGTCCCGGACCCGGTGGCTTGAAACTCATGCCGGGCGCATGTGTGTGTGTGTGCCCAAGATCCCGAGAGGAGAATGGAGGAGAAGGGATTGCAGCGTGACCATCCCCCCCCCCAGGGGGGGATGTCTCGCTTTCTGTCTCTATGTCTCTGTCTGGCAAGCGCATGCGCCCTATAGCGAAAAAAAAACCTCTCCAAAAAAAAAAAAAAAAGAAAGTGGGAAATCACTCCCCAGGGGGTATAATCACACTGCGATCCCTTCTCCATTCTCTCAGGATTTGGGGCATGTGCGCACACATGCCTGGTGGCATGAGTTTCAAGCCACTGGTCCGGGGCTTGTACTGCCATCAAATAAATGATTGCCCATGAAACACTGAAGAGCAGTTGGCAAACAGGTAGCTGGGGAACAGCCGTGGCCTGGAGATCAGAGAAGAGTGTATGGGAGCTAGACATTAGTAACAGTTACCTTGTGAATTCTAAGGTGAGCGGAGGTGGGATGTATCTATGGCCACAGGGGTAGATTTACCTCTGCTAGGTGAGGTGGGGGAGCAGCTCATTTTAAGAGCAAGAAACAAAACATGGGCCAGCAGGTGGCATAGTGGTTAAAAAGGGTGGATCTCACGTGGCTGATGGCACTGCCTGAGTCCCAGACCAGGTGGCTTGAAGAAACATGCTGGGGAGGGACCAGCAGGAGGCACAATGGTTACGTCACTGGAGTCCCACGTCGCTGGAGTCCCGCATAGTTGACTGCAATTTGAGTCCCAGACCTGACTGCTTGAACTTAATGCCAGGTGTGTCTATGTGCGTGCCCAACATCCAAAGAGGAGAATGGAAGAGAAGGTATTGCAGTGTAGCCATCCCTCCCAGGGGGTGATTTCTCGCTTTCTGACTCTGTCTGGTGAGTCCATGTGCCTTCTAGCAAATACTTCTTTAAGAAAAAAATGCTGAGGTGAGTGTACTTAACATGCTTCAAATCCTGGAAGAATAGAGGAAAAGGGACTGTAGTGTGGCCATTACCCCTAGGGAATGCTTTCTCATTTTCCTCTCTGTCTCTGGCGAGAGAACTTGCCCTATAATACCCCCTCCCCCCAAAAAAATAGTTGCAGGTAAGTTTGTAGGTTTGTCTGGAAAGTGAGGGTGAGGTAGTTCCTGTCTGGTACCTTGGTTAACGTACAAGGCAGATGTGGTCATGTTACTGGGTGCCCTGTAGAGGTGAGTGCCAATGCCTATACCCATTGTAACTGTCAATCTTACCCAGTGACTTTGGTGCAGACCCAGAGAAAGTGGGTAGTTCGGTCTAACCAGGGTGAGAGGCTTATCTGATCTGTGCTATGGAGGGAGAGGAGAGTTGAGCTGAGGATATTTGCAAGTGAGAGATGATAATAATAATGGGACCCTTCATTCCCACAAATGGGTGCTGTCACCACATACCCTTCAGTTCTTGGTGAGATGGGCCTTCTCTGAATGTGTTTTGCTTACCCTTAGTCCTGGCTGCAGGCAGGATATGTAGCCATGTAACTCACAAGTCGTCATGTGAACAACGTGCAGATAGATAAAGGACACTTCCATGGCCAGGTGATATCGGGAGCTCAGAACAGATTTCCTAGCACTTAGACATTGCCAGAAGAGTCATACAGTATGGTCCAGCCTCCCAGTGTAAAAGTCCCCTCTATAACATCCTGGACAGACTGCCCTTATTGAACACTTCCATTGATGGGGGAGGCCCATTACCTTAGGAGGGAACATGAGAGAGTGGTACTCTGCCTTTTCGCTCTCCAAGCAATGGCTCATCAGAGTTGCAGCCCAGGCTCTGGTCTGCATGCTACTCCTTTGCTCTGTAGGGTTTTCCCTTTCTGATGATCCTTGGGCTGTGGACACAGAAGTTGCTAAATGGGGAGACGTGATGGAGAAGCTGTCTTCTTTCCTCCAGAAAAATGGTTTCTGAAGGACCCTTTCCTAGTTTTATGTGTGGTCTCAGCACTGGCCACAGCCTGTTAGCACAGAAGACATGGGACCCTCTCCTGCAATGAGTAGCTGCTTTACAGCTTCCTTTGACAGACGCATCACACCGTCGACTCAGAGTGAAGTGATCAGCAGATCTGCCCAGACTTCTTCACAGGAATGGCTGTTACGCCAAGTCTTTGCCAATTTGCAACATGCAGATTTTAAATTTCTGAACAGAAATATATTTAAGTATGTATTAAATAAATGTTTTAAAACAACTATTCCAATTTAAGAGCTTTTTTAAAATCTTGATTATGGGGGACCAGCAGTTAGCATAATGGCTATGTCACTGGACTCCCATGTAGTCGACCACGGTTCACGTCCTGGACCCAGTGGCTTAAAACTCACACCAGTCGTGGGAACCAGCAGTTAGCGTGATGGCTATGTCGCTGGACTCCCATGTAGTCGACCGCGGTTCGTGTCCCGGACCCGGTGGCTTAAAACTCACGCCGGGCGCGTGTGCGTGCGTGCCCAAGATCCTGAGAGGAGAATGGAGGAGAAGGGATTGCAGCGTGACCATCCCCCCTGGGGGGTGATTTCTCGCTTTCTGTCTCTAATGTCTCTCTCTGTCTGTCTGGCGAGCGCACGCGCCCTATAGTGAAAATCTCTCAAAAAAAAAAAAAAAAACCTCACACCAGTTGTGTGTGCGTGCATGCCCAAGATCCTGAGAGAAGACTAGAGAAGAAGGAATTGCAGCATGGCCATCCCCCCAGGGGATGATCCCCCTTTTGGCGAGCACACACTCCCTATAGCAGAAACGTCTCAAAAAAAAAAAAAAATCTTGATTATGTAATGTGGTATACTAGGTATCTATCCCAATGTGTTATTTCCGATGTTGATAAACTGTCCTATCCTTTCATCTTATCCCAAAAGGATATTGTGAGAGAGATTTTTAAAAAATATTTAATTCCATTTGTTACTATCATTTGTTTAATTTGACTAGAGAGAGACAGAGAGAGAGAAAAGGAAAGTGAGAAAACAAGCCACCAAGTCCGGGATTCAAACCATGATTGGCTATGTAGGAATCCAGCGCCTTTAACCACCATGCCACCCGCTGGCCCCATCCTGAGAGATCTTAATCACATCCAGATGTTTGTCTATGATATAGCCATCTGATAATTCTTATCAAAAGGAGTAGAGTTATTTGGATGCACTAACTTATTTGTAGTGAGAACATGTGGGTATCTAGTAGCTGCCACATTTTGGGTAATGACTCCGATGAAATACCTTCAACGGCATATCCTTTGTGAATTTTAACTGTGGTTGCACTTATTTGTGTGACTTGAAAATTGGGCTTTTGCCAAGTTCAAGGCTCTGTCTATACTGTTTTCTTAAAGATTACTGACAATGATTCCTCTTTTTTTTTTTTAAATTATAATTTGCGTGAACCAGATCGTTTGGAATTTATTAATAGGAGCTGGAAATCAACCAAAGGCTCTGACTTGTGCTCAAGATGGTGGTTGCCCTTCTCATTCTGGAGGTGACCTGTTACTCGGTCCTTTGCTCTTGTCTGGTAGACCTTGACCTCTCAAAGGGCTGTTGGCTGGTATGGCAGACAGTGGCCTAGTCTCTTGGGGACGGTTGCTTAGTAGATGGGAACTTGACTGGGTCCAGACAGGCCTGAGTTCTATCAGGTTTCACCTCTGCTACTAATTAGCAGTATTACTTGGGAACTTAACTAGCTTTTCCAAGCATTGGTTTCCTCACCTGTAAAATGAGAGTCCTTCCTCTCTGTTGAGGGTTAATGAAGCCTTCAGCGAGATGCCTGGCCCTTGGTAACTGTCCCTTCCATGTGGCTGTTGTTATTCCCTTACTCTCTGAGCATAGCTAGTGAGCAGACAAGGGCACCTGGCTGGAAGTACTGTGTTGGGTTCCCAGGGCAAGGCAGAGGTGCGGGGCACTCTGAGGGTCAGAGTGGAGTCCTGAGCATTGGCCTAGTGATAAGGGGAAGCATTCCCTCTCTTTGTGCCTAGACAAAACCTCGGTGAATTATAGATGGTGGCAGATTTCTTAGGCAGGCAGTATAGAATGAAAGAGGAGACACCTGACTCCTTCCCGAACAAGGGCCCCTTCAGGGACCTCTGGCTGCCATCCTGAGGAGGGAGTCAGCAGGACATGGATCTTCAGAAAGGAGTGAGGAAGGAGGCAGTGGGCACAGGGTAAGGCAGGACTGGATCCTGCTCTCCTGGATGCAAGGCCACAAGGCTTTGGGGATTTCTTCAGCCTGTCCCTCATCCCACCCTCAGGGTTGCGGCTTTCCTGACAACTGGAGCTTCAAGTGCTCTTCAGGGTGAGGTTCTGGTAGGAAACCAGAGCTGAAATTCTTTCCATTGCTGTTCCTGGGCTGGGGCTGCACTGAGCAGTTGTTGCCAGGAACACAGGTAGGTACCTTGGGCTGCCAGGCCCGGGCAGGGTCTAGTGGAGGCTCTGTCCTCTTGCAGAACAAGAACTCTATAAATGGCTGCTTGAGGACATCTGAGTGGTCAGTGCAGGATAAGGCAGAGTTTATCCTGAGGCCCTACAGAAAGTGAGTGTGGTGGGCTGTAAGGTGGGAGTAAAGAGGGGGTTCAGAGGATTAAAAGGCTACCTTCTCTGATTGCTTTTTGCCCTACTAGAAATAAGAGAAGAAAAGAAATAAGCGAATGAGGATGGGGGTAAGGGTATGGGGGTTTCAGGCCCAGGTGGCTTTTGCTGGAAGCTTAAATAATAAGAAAAGTCAGGGTGGAGGGTGTCCTTGAGACTGTGTTGGGAGACCTGGCAAATGATGAGCCCCTGAATATGGTATCTGCTTGTATTTTTCTCCCCTAGCATCACCATGCTTCCCCAGGGGCCCAGGTGGAGGAGTGAGACACGGAGGCCTCAGCATCATGAGTGCCCTATGCCACCCTCATCCCAGCCTCTCATGGGGCAAGGATGGGGAGGGTGCGGCCACTCTTCCCTCACAGCAGCCATGGCCACAGTGGTGGCATCAGCCTTTCTTGGGAATCTGGTGGCAGCGTGCCCAGCACCATGCACCTGCCCAGCAGCAGGCGGTGTGGTGGACTGTGGGGGCCTCCGCCTGCTCAGCCTTCCTCCCAGGCTCCCTGACAGAGCCTGGCTCCTGGAACTGAGCCATAATAATCTCAGTAGCCTACCAGTTGGCTCCTTCCAGGGCCTCTGGGGACTGCGGGTGTTACTGCTTTCTCACAATATCCTGCAGGATCTGGCTGATGGGGCCCTGGGAGGCCTCAGATTCCTGGAACAGCTGGACCTCAGCCACAACCAACTGGCCTACCTGCCCCCAGACTTCTCAGCCACCTTGGGCACTCTGCTCCGCCTGGACCTCTCTCACAACCTGCTGGCCACCCTGGACCCCAGCAGCCTTTGCGGCCTGGGGAGCCTGGAGCAGCTTGATCTCAGCCACAACCAGTTGACTGAGCTGGCTGCAGGTGGACTTGGGGGCCTCTTCCACCTACGCTGGCTCTCATTAGCCAGAAATCAACTGCAGCAGGTCAAGAGTGCCACCCTGGCCACCATGCAGGGCTTGGAAGTCCTGTCTCTGGCTGAGAACCACATCAATGAGCTAGAGGCCGAGGTGTTCGCGGCCCTGAGGGCACTGGGCCTCCTCTCTCTCGTGGGCAACCAACTGCAGCACCTTGAGTTCAAGGCAGTGGTGAACATCCGGACAGCAGGCACACGGCTGCTGCTGGCCAACAACCCCTGGATATGTGACTGTGACCTGCAGCGAGCCTTCGGGAAGCTGGGTCACCTGCGGCATTTACATGTGGCTGACCTGGACAACTTGACGTGTGCTGGGCCTGAGCGACTGGCAGGAGCGAGACTGAGTAGTGTGGAGGCCCGGCTCTGCCTGGCTGAGACGGCCACGGTGCTGGGCATCACAGGCACCATGCTGATCGCTGTGGCTATGGCTGTGGTTATGGCCGAGCACAAGCGCAGGCAGGGCCCTGGAGAGCTGGGGAGCCCTCTGGAAAGGTGAGGGATGCTGCAGAGGGTGCTTCAGACAGTTGGAGGGAGAGCAGAGAGCTGTGAGAGGAAGGGAAACTAGATGTCTAGGGCTCTTCTGTTTGCTGGGACTGGGGGTGCAGGTTGAGCAGGGATAAATGACTGTGTTCATTTCTCAGGGCCTAGTGCCTGTCTGTCCCTCTCCCCTGACAACTCTAGAAACTACAACCCTAGAAACTAGAAATTATCCCCTAGCCTTCTTCCTAGCACCCCTCTGAGGAAGAGGGCAGAAAAAGAGGAACTCTAAGTCCAAAGGAACTGGAATGTATTGGTTACCAGGAAAAGAATCGTGCATCCTAATCTTCTCTCCCCTCCTCACACCTCCTTGGCTGGTGTTATGGACTATTAGAAACTAGTTGCCAAGGTTATGATGGGAGAGTAGGGTGTCATGCCCACGAGGACAGCTCAGGCAGGCTCCTAGGACTGTTTTAAGGACTTACATAATTCGGTTCTGGTCCTCAACAATGTCAGTACTGTGCATCTTGTCCCATTTGAATTGGGTGTGTGAGGATATTAGACAAATAAAAGTAATCAGAAAGTTGATTCTGTACTATGTGCCTAATTTATGGCAAAGAAAACTGATTTTGTCATTAATGGGCAGAGGCAGGTCAAATGACTATTTTTTTATCTTTTGCTATAGGGTGCATGTGCTTGCCAAAGAGAGAGAGAAATCACTCCCCCATCCCCACCCTGGGGAGGAGCCATGCCACAATCCCATCTCCATTTTCTGAGGATTTTGGGGACACACACAGCATATTTTATCTTTCAGATCACCAGGTTCAGGACTTGAACCATGAGTTTGACTTGAAGATCCAGCCACCTTAGCCACAATGCCACCTGCTGGCCCCCAAGTGACCTTTAACTCAAATTTCTCATTTGCTTTGTCTGGAGGGCTCCCCACTCACCAAGATAAACATGTATAATAACATTCCCTAGCTCTTTTTTTTTTTTTTTTTTTGAGAGGTTTTTGCTATAGGGCACGTGCGCTTGCCAGACAGACAGAGACAGAGAGACAGAAAGCAGGAAATCACCCTCCAGGGGGTGGCCACGCTGCAATCCCTTCTCCATTCTCCTCTCGGGATCTTGGGCACGCACGCACACGCACCTGGCGTGAGTTTAAGCCACCGGGTCCGTGACTCGAACTGCGGTCTACTACGTGGGAGTCCAGCGACATAGCCATTACGCCAACTGCTGGTCCCCCTAGCTCTTTGCACTAGTATATCCCAGTCCCACATTATTTTTTCTTAAGAGTTATTTATTTAATCTTATTTATTCATTCAACCATTTTCACTTGATCAGAGAAAGACACACAGAAGGAAAGTGAAAAAGTAAGCCACCAGGTCCAGGACTCAACCGTGGTTGGTCATGTGGGAGTGTCGAGCACCTTAACCACCATGCTACGTGCCGGCCCAAGTCCCACATTCTTTCTGATATACCGAGTTTAGTGACTATTTAAAATGAACCATGGGGGAAGGGCCAGCAGGTGGCATGGTGGTTGAGGTGCTGGATTCCCACATGCCCTACCATCGTTCAAGCCCTGGACCTGGTGGCTTGCTCTCTCACTTTCCCTCTTCTCTCTCTGGTCAAAATTTTAAAATAATAATAAGTAAAATTTTATTAAATGAATCATGGGAGCCAACAGGTGATGTGGTAAAGGTTCTGGGCTCCCACATGGCCAACCGTGGTTCAAGTCCCAGACCAGCAACTTGAAAATCATGGCAGGTACATGTTCATGCATGCCCCAAATCCTGAGAGAGTAGAGGAGAAGGAATTATGTGACCATTCCCCCAGGGGGGGTGAGTTCTCATTTTCTCTCTGTCTCTCCAGTGGGTGCATGTGCCTGTAGCGAAAATCTCTCCCTGCCTCCCCCCAAAAAAATAAAAGTGAAAGGGTGTTTTTTGTTTTGTTTTGTTTTGTTTTTTGTATCCCTTTCACTGGCTGGTTGGAAATTTTAAATTCATAGTCAAATGCTGTTTGGACATGAACCTCTTCTCTCTCAAGGGAATTAAAACAGATCTTCTGGATTAAATGAACTATTGGGGGTGCTTGCAGGGTGTTAACTTCAATATTGGAACACAAGCTCTTTTGTTAAGGAGCATGTGTGTAAGAAAATAGGTAGGAGCAGCTTTGTGGTGGCAATTCAAATGCCCAGAACTTTTGTCCATTTATTCAACAGATATTTTCTGAGTGCTTACCATAAACCAGGTATACTAACAACACCTTTTGTTCACTTATGTCTGCAGCACATAATTCCTGAGTGCATCCTGTATACTACAACAGGCACATAGGATAGAAAGAAACAAACTAGACAGTCTCTACCTTCATGGAGCATACTGCCTGGGAGGGGAACATAGTCATTAATAATTAAAGAATCAGGGGCCAGCAGATGGCATAACTGTTACGTTGCTGGACTCCCATGTAGTTGATCAGGATTGAGTCCTGGACCCAGTAACTTAAAACTCACACTGGGCATGTGTGCATGTATGCCCAAAATCCCGAGAGGAGAATGGAGGAGAAGGGATTGTAGCAGCCCTTGCGAGTGATTTCCTGTTTTCTGTCTCTCTGGTGAGCACACACCCTATAGCAAAAATCTCTCCGAAAAAAAGAATCACATATATATCATTGCCACTGTGATAAATGATTCTAAGGAAGGGTAGCTGCTGACGTGAAGACATATGGAAATACTTCAAAAAGTTCATGGGAAATTGGAATCAAAGTATGAGTTTATGGGGTCAGCAGTTGGGGTGGTGGTTAAGGCACTGGAGTCCTACATGACTGACCATGGCTCGAGTTCCAGATCCAGAGACTTGAAAATCACGTGGGGCATGTGTTATGCATGCCTAAAATCTTGAGGGGAGAACAGAGGAGAAGGGATTGCGGTGTGGCGATCTCCCCACAAGGAGGGGGAGGAGTGATTTCTCTTTCAGGAGAGTGCATGTGCCATATCTCAAAAGCCTTAAAAAATACATACATACATATTATGACTTTATTTTGGTACAAAAAATTTTGAAATCCATAAATTTTTTTCCATGAATCTTTTGAAGACTTTCATATAATGGGAGCTAATAACAAACTGGAGGAGGCTAAAGGAAGGTGAGGAAGTCTAATTGGAAACCTGAGTCAGTTAAACCAACAAAAAATGTTGGGGCTAGCAGCCAGGACATCTCTCGGGCCCGGAACTAGAGAGCGACAGCCTTGATTCCGGGCGGAAGAAATAAAACAGCGAGAGACGCGGAAGTTGCGTATCCCATGGCTCCGCAGGCCTCCCTGATGGGAGTGAGGCCGTGGCGGACTGCCCTACCCGAAGATGGCGTCGAAGATAGGTTCGAGACGGTGGATGCTGCAGCTGATCATGCAGTTGGGTTCAGTACTGCTCACACGCTGCCCCTTCTGGGGCTGCTTCAGCCAGCTCATGCTGTACGCTGAGAGGGCCGAGGCGCGCCGGTGAGCAGACCTACGCAACCGCTCACCGCGGTGGGGGCTGTACTGCCAGTTCCAGGATCAGGGTGCGGTGATATGGGAAAGAAATTGGGGTTCAGGAGTTGGGACCCTTGAACTGCGAGGAATTGGGACCTTGGACTTCTTGGGAGGGTCTCAGGTCCGACCATCAGACTAGATCTGGTTCGGAGGTACTGTCTTTGACAGGGGGCTTCGGTTTGGGAGACCAGTTGGAGCTTGCGGGAACTCAGGCGAGTTTCTTTCCTCGTTGCTTTCCCACTCCCGGTTCACAGGAAGCCCGACATCCCGGTGCCCTACTTGTACTTCGACATGGGGGCGGCCGTGCTCTGTGCTAGCTTCATGTCCTTTGGCGTGAAGCGGCGCTGGTTCGCCCTGGGGGCTGCACTCCAGCTGGCCATTAGCACCTACGCTGCCTACATCGGGGGCTATGTTCACTACGGGGACTGGCTGAAGGTGAGTGCCTGAACCCTAGAAGAGTCTTTGTTATGAATAATGGGCAGCTGGAGGCGATACCCAGGGTGGCTGATGGGAGTGGTTCTGGCTAGGTGCACAGTGTGAAGCCTGGGAGAGCCAAACACCCAGGTTCGTGGAGATCATCACAAATCGCAGAAATAGATATTAGAAACCATACAAACCTCCCCTTTGGGTGTGGAAAGTGAAGTCCAGAGATGGAAAACAGACTTTCTCTGAGTCTCACTACAATTATTGTACAGTCGGAACCAGAACTCAAATCATCTTGTTCCTAGAAACTTTTTTTTTGAGAGGTTTTTGCTATAGGACGCGTGCACTCGCCAGAGAGAGACAGAGAGATAGAAAGCGGCGAGAAATAACCCCGCAGGGGGGATAGCCACAGGGATGGCCATGCCGCAATCCTTTCTCCTCCATTCTCCCCTCGGGATCTTGGGCATGCATACACACGCAATCCTTTCTCCTCCATTCTCCCCTCGGGATCTTGGGCATGCATACACACGCGCCTGGCATGAGTTTACGCCACTTGGTCCCGGACTTGAACCGCAGTCGACTACATGAGAGTCCAGCGACATAGCCATTACGCTAACTGCTGGCCTCGTTCCCAAAAACTTTTAAACCATGAGTTTAGTATTTCCAGACTTATAGGACCAAAGCAGCCATGGACAATACCTGGTCCAACCATCTGATTTTATGAAATAAATTAATCTTAGTGCGGAACCTGTACCAGGTACCGCGGGGTTGAAAAAAACCACTATCCTCAAAGGAGAAGCTACCTGTTCAGTTAGAGAAGCAGATATGAATAATGAGATCAGTGGTCATTTTGTTGTTTTGTTTTATTTTATGGAATAGACTCTGTTCCATAGAGGAAAGAACACTAGGATTAGAGTCTGCAGACCTGGGAATGGGGAGGAGAGCAATGTATGGTGTCTGGGTTCTGCCACTTACTCTCTGTAGGACCTTGGACAATTTTCTTAACCCCTCTGGGCCTCAGTTTCCACTTCTGTAAAAACAGTATTATCTATCTCTGCTCTACCTGTTCAACACACTTGGGAACGGTAAGAGGGTTCATCAGGTGGAATGGGATGTTTAGAAATGGGCCATCCAATGCTCGACAGCCAGGAGGAATGGTGGCTATGGTTCCTAACTGAGATCCCCTTGTCCTGGCCTAGGTCCGTATGTACTCACGCACAGTTGCCATCATCGGTGGCTTTCTGGTGCTGGCCAGTGGTGCTGGGGAGCTGTACCGTCGGAAACCCCGCAGTCGTTCCCTGCAGTCTACCGGCCAGGTGTTTCTGGGCATCTACCTCATCTGTGTGGTAGGTTTGGGGGGCTGCTGATTGGAGGTTCCTGGCTGGGAGTGACATGCTGAGCCCAGGCCTGGCAAAGCCCAAGAAGGTGGACAGAGCAAGGTCTTGTGTGCAGTCCTTGATGGCTTGACTCCAGGGAATTGCCCCAGCAAGGGACCTTGCCAGTGCTTGAGACCTGACTAAGTCTCCTTCCGTCCACCATTATTGTCTCTATGTAGAGAAGTTGGATTGACAGTCAGTCCCCACCCTGAGAGCCAAGAGAACAAGATGGGTGACTCCCTCAGAGGTCCACCCCTGGAGGACTGGGAGGGGGGACAAAGGAGAGGTTTTGTGGGGCTCAGGCACCAGCTGGGACTTTGCCACCTAGAACTGCTGGGGGCTGCATAGGGTGACCAGTTACAGTCCTCCCTGGTGCTGGGGCCAGTGTGAACGGGGACATGGACAGGCCTTGGACCACTCGTCTTGGTTACCAGGTACCAAATCCCATTGCAGAGTTCCTATGAGCTTCCATGGCATATGCTGAGCTGGGAGCTCTAGTCTGACTATGGAGACTCACTTCTTCCCTTCAGAGTACCCAGGGCATGGGGAGACATGGGCTCTAACTTCCTGGGGCTCCACAGTCTGAGGGGGAGACCCAGGTCTGACTTTCAGAGTCCCCAGTCTGAGAGGGAATCGAAGCACACCTTGTAGGGGCTGACCTGCAGGTGCCAATTCAGGGGTGTCCTTCCCCAGACAGGTTTCTCAGCCTGTTGCAGAGTCTTAGGGCATGGTGTGTCTCCAGGCCTACTCGCTGCAGCACAGCAAGGAGGATCGGCTGGCATACCTGAACCACCTCCCAGGAGGGGAGCTCATGATCCAGTTGTTCTTCGTGCTCTACGGCGTCCTGGCCCTGGCCTTCCTGTCAGGCTACTATGTGACCCTGGCGGCCCAGATCCTGGCAGTGGTACTGCCCCCTGTCATGCTGCTCATAGATGGCAACGTTGCCTATTGGCACAACACGCGGCGTGTTGAGTTCTGGAACCAGATGAAGCTCCTGGGAGAGAGTGTGGGCATCTTTGGGGCTGCAGTCATCCTGGCCACTGATGGCTGAGTTGCATTGAGAGCCTGAGGGAACACAGGGAGCCACTGAGGGCCACCCTGCCTTCCTCCTCACTGGCCCAGTTGTTTATTTATGCTTTCTGGTCTGTTTGTTTGATTGTTTTTTTTGTTTTGTTTTGTTTTTGCATTAAGAGGCAGGTCTCTGTCCCAAGTTCTTGGGTTTGGCTCTTTGGAGGGCAGGAGCCCTAACGCTAGTGCCTCACAGGTTTTTTTTTTTTTCCCTGTTTGTTAGGAGCGCTGAGCCAGCTGTTCCCTGGGAGTGCTCTTCCTGAGAAGGGAATAAGGCAAGGTTAGGGTGCAGGGACTGAGAATGAGAGAGATGAAGGAAGATGGAGATCTAGAAGTGGGCAAGTGTTACAAATTCCTTTTTGAACGTGTCTGATGCAGCTTGGCCCTACAAGTGCTTTTCAGAGACTGAGCGTGAGTGTGTGTGTTGACACGTGTGTCAGGCCCAGGAGGAGCAGAGGGCCAGACACCACAGGGCACATGGGTTCTCAGGGCATGCCAGGGCAGAAGCAGTACCAGCTCACCACCTACCTTGAGAGGAGAGCAGGCCCCGTCTGCTCTGAGATACGCAGGAGTGGAGCTGGAGGCAGCCAGCTTTACACGTCTGGCTGTTTCCAGCCTCGTGGGCGGCCTGGTGGGGTGGAGTGCCCTCCCAAACACCAGATCACACAGTCTTCCAAAAATAAACATTTTATATAGACATTTGGCTTTGTTTCTCTGTTCTTACCACAGGGCACTTTGCCATTGGCCGGGATTGATGTTGAGTTTCTTGAGAGACCGTTTACGGTTAAACCCCACCCTGGACCTCTCCGATCTTTCCCCTGCTCTGAGAGTTCCCCTCATCCCTTTTCTAGGCCTTTTTCACCAGTCTCAAAATCCTTACCGTAGTATGTGCTTTCCCTTCTATTTGGTGCCAGCTCTTTGGAAGAAATCTTTGGTGACAGCAACTCGAGGGAGAGAACTAACAGTGTCCACTCTGAACTGAGTGGTTTCCATTTACACATGAGGAAATGGGGGCTTGGAGGAGGTAGACAAGCCTCCAGGCACAGAGCTGGATTCCTGGCCATGTCCATCTAATGTCCTGGCCATTCCTGACGTGGCCATGTCCTGAGGGAAGACACAGGCTACTGTTGGGGACTCAGTTCTGTCATGGTGTACCATGATGGTCTCTTAATTGACCATTCTCCGTGCTTATCCATGGCCCCTCTGCTAGAAAGTAGCCCCACCAGCCAGTAGGGTCACTACGAGGATTAAAACAAAAACTGAAGGCCCTGGGCTTTGGACTCTGCCAATCTAAATGTGCTCGTCCGCAGAGGCTGGACACACTGTTCAGAAAGCCCCAGGGAAAGGGCTGGCAGGTGGTGTGGTGGTTAGGCGCACTGGATTCCCACATGGCCGACCATGGTGTGAGTCCTGGACCTGGTGGCTTGCTTTCTTGCTTTCCCTTTCTCTCTCTCTGGTCAAATTAAAAAAATAATAACAAATGAAATTAATTAAATAAATATTTTTTGTTTAAAAAGGCTCAGGGGAAAATATCTGTCCAAGTCTGAGCTTTTTGTTTTGTTTTAAAGAGACAGAGTCTTGGGCCAGCAGGTGGTGTGGAGCTTAAGGTGGCTGGATTCCACATAGCCGACTGCACAGTTTAAGTCTGGAACTCAGTGGCTTGAAAAAAACGCACCAGGCATGTGTGCATGGGTACTCAAAATACTGAGAGAAGGAAGGAGAAGAGATATGATGTGGTCATCCAAATAACTGGAATTACAGGCAAATCCCACATCTGGCTAGTCTGGGCTTTTAAACCAAAGCCATCTTGTGGCTTCTCTGGACTCCTGCAGGTAAAAGATGAAACACTGCTGTCCGGGCTTGGCTCTGCGCTCCACCTGGAGAGGGACCTGGGGCGGAGGCACCGCAGGGCAGGGGAAGCCAGGCTGCTGTTGGCCTGGTCTGCAGGATGGAAGAAGGCATTTCTTAAGCTAAGCTCAGAAGAGCCCCTCTGGGGGCTGCTGACACCCAAGTGTGGGAGACAGTGACAGCATTTATCCTTGGGCCTTCCAACTAATTGGTTCCTCTAGTCCATCTAGGGGTTCCCTTGTTCCCCTGCCCTCAAGATTTTGCTCCTGGAGGGTCATTGCTAATTTCCTGTCAAGTGTGAGCTGACTTTTAGACATGTGCTTGTGTTTTAATCAAGGCCTCCTGAAAATAGAAGACCCAAAGAAATTAAAATAAGTGGTAGAATATCAGGCAGGTAGGGTAAGGAGCCTCAGAACCACACAGAGGTCACAGAAATTGACTCACTCTTAAGGCTAGCCCTAAGGACAGTCCTTGAAAGCCAGCCCCCCCCCCAACCCCCTCCCATCCCCAGGCTGAAAGTCAAAGCCATTTGGTTGTGGCTCTGGAGCAAGTCAGGTCCTCTCCTTCCTGTGCTTGTCCCACTTCAGAGTCCCCTCTGGGCAGAGCTGGGCTGCTTCCTCCTCTGCAGATCACTCAGCTGCCTGGGGTCACCCCCAGCAGGCAGGGCTTTTTGTTCACTCTGGCTGTCCCAGGGCCTGCGAGATCTATAGTGAGGGTCAACTGCCTGGGTCGGAACCTGGTTTGCAGAAGGAGTCTGGCAGTCCCTTGGCATGGTTGACCAGCTCATAGGAGTCCCGGATATCAGCTAGGCCAAACCAGAAGAAGATCCACTGCTTGTTGGAGAAGCTGCCATCACTGTGCTTGAAGTACCTGGATGCGGGGAGGCAAGGGAGGCAGTTTTTAAGACAACGCCAGTTCTAGACACTAGGCCAGTTGTGGTCTGTTGACGAACCTCGGATTGTCATGCTCACTTCACAGAGAAGCAGCTAAGGCTCAGAGAAGTTAGGTTACTTGCGGGGTCACACAGTAGGGAGGTCAGAATGAGGGCATTCCTTGCTCTCTCCACACTGCCTGGACTGTAGCAGTGTTCTTGTTCACTTTAGTGCCCACAGACCAGGGGACTAGGGATGGGGAGACAGTTGCTGAAGGCTAGAGGAGAGAACGGTTCCACTGGAGGTATGGTAGACCTAGAATAGAGCCTGATGAGTCAGGATTTCTCGGGACCTTGGGAGAGGTAGGCTGTTTGCTTTGGGAAGTACCGTTGCTTCCAGGAAAGCAGGGTTAATCTACAGGTGGGGCAATCGGGCTCCCTGTGTGGTTTGCCCCCTGGATGATAGGGGAGGGAGGAGGGTGTTCCCTGGGGAGGGGAGGCTAGTGTAAGTACTGGAGGTACAGCCTACTGAGCCGGTGAACCCCCCCCACACACACACACACACCCCGGGACCTGGCTGGCAAGGGTTGAAGAGGAGGGGGTGGGACCTACCAGGGGTTGATGGGGTTGGTGACCCGGGAGCGCCAGAAAAGCGTCTGCAGGTCCCGCCTCAAGCACTCCCACAGCATCTGGCCGGAGCCTTGGCCCTGGCGGCTGGAGCTCACCACAAATTTGTCCAGGTACGGGGTGCCCCCCAGTACGGGCTCTGTGGTCAGAATGGCAGCGGCGTTGTACCTGGCGCAGCGGGAGAGAGGCAGGCTGGGACCTCTTCTTGACCCGGAGTTGCCCGACTAGGCCGCTGCCTCGCTCGACTAGGCCCCTGCGTCCCTGCCCTCTGGGGTCCACAGGCTCACCCCTCAGAGACGTAGATAGAGTGCAGCCGCGGCCGCAGTGAGGCCAGGTAGTCGTCCCGGAGCTTCTTGCCGAAACTGGCGTTGACCAGGTCCACCAGGCGGCCCTGGTCCAGGCTGTCCAGACTGCGCACTCGCAGCATCCGCTCGGCGTTCTTGAACAGAGTCCCGGACCCTTAGGGTGAGATGGGGGCGGGACTAGTTCGGCCTGAGAGTCCGGACCCACCCACTCCTCCGTGCGCGGTGGAGTAGAGGCTCCAGGTAGGACAGCTACTTCTTCCGGTGACCACGTGAAATGATTTCTGTGGTCTGCATAGATTTGTCTGCGACTGTCAGTCAAGGACATCAGAGTTTGTCCTCCAAATTTCTCCAGTCGCCTGTAGTTCCCACCTGCTTCCCTTAGTTCCCTTAG